TTTGTGTGTGCCTGGCACAGCTCTGCAGCCCGAGTGGCTGCTCTGTGTGAGCAGCTTCCACGGCAACGTGTCTGGGAGAGGAGAGCCAGACAGGGGGTCTGCCCAGGCACAGAGCCTGGACTCAGCCTTTCCTACCTGGACACAGGGGTTGGTCAAAGTCTAGAACCCACTCCGGAGAACGGAGTGTCCTGACGAGAGGGCAGAGGACTTTGAGCTGTTTCAAACGCTTGTGGTGTTTGTTTTTACAGATTAACAACATGAAGACCAAATTTAAAGAGACCATTGAGAAGTGTGACAGTCTGGAACAGAGGCTCAATGACTTGCTCAAAGAAAAGCAGTGTGTGGAGAGGAAGTGAGTACCACTGCCAGCTTTGGTTCCATGCAGCCATTAAAGCACCACTCACTGACATCCACAGAGAATAAATCCTGCTAGTCCTGGGCACTTTGGAGCTCTTTGAGCTGGAATACTGAGAGCTCTACTTGCTTTAAAACAAGCTCTGATTTCTGTAGGTGTTCCCAAATGGGAAGTGCCTGTGGAGGGAGCACAGTTTGGGGCTCTCAGCTGCTTTCTGTGTCTTTAGCATTCAGGGATCCTTCCCTGCCTGCTCCGAGGTAGGTGCCAGTCTGTTCTGCCATTGGCACATGCATCCAGAGGGATGAGAGCAGCTCAGCAGAGGCTTCACTCAGCACACAGGAAAATGATCTTGGGAGGTGCCTGGGGGAAAGATGTCGTGCCCAGGGACTGTGGATCCATGTGCTCTGGCTGCCCTGGTGGGCTCCATGCCCATGCTGGGTGTTGCCTCCCCTTGCCCACTTTTGCCAGAGAAGCTGATCCCACGTGGTGGGGCTGGGGGTGAGCTGGGTGCAGTGGTGTTGGGTGTGACCGTGCTGTGCTGCTGTCCTGACTTGTGCTTCTCTCCACAAGGTGTTCCCAGCTGAACAACAAAGTGGCCAAACTCTCCAACGAGCTGAAGGAGGAGCAGGAACTGAACAAGTGTTTGCGAGCGAATCAGGCCTTGCTGCAGAACAAACTGAAGGAGGAGGAGAGGGTGTTGAAGGAAACCTGTGAACAGAAGGACCTGCAGATTTCTGAGATCCAGGAGCAGTTGAGGGATGTCATGTTCTACCTGGAGACACAGCAGAAGATCAATCACCTCCCAGCTGAGACCCGGCAGGAGATTCAGGAAGGACAGATCAACATTGCGGTGGCCTCTTCCGCCAGCTCCTCCTCGGCAGGCACAGGCAAACCCTCCTCCAGGAGAGGCCGTGGCAAGAGGGGGAAGTGAAGCCTGGAGTGCTCTGCTCCGTGCTGGGGTGGGCCAGGATCACCTTGGGGACTCCAGCTGGGAAGGCCCAGTTCAGTAAAGCTCAGCTGAGAATTGTCTTCAGAGCTGCTCGTGAAACTGGCTGCCAGTCAGTGCAGGTGTCTGTGGTGTTTCAAAGCATTTCACTGCACTATTTAGCTGTTTTTAGGCAGATCTCGGTGACCATTTTGCCTTCCTACTTTTCCAGAGCTCTTCCTCTCATGCACTTGACTTGCTTGGAGAGTGTTTTGGGGTGGGAGGGTGTGTCCATGTCAAACATCCCATTCCCTGCAGGGATGCTGTAGAGTAGGTTAGGCCCAGTGTGTAAGGCTTCTCCAGTTCTTCTCCTGGATTAAAAGTATTCTCAGTTAAGAAGTTATTTAATAAAACTGTGTAAATTAGATTATATACATCTCCTTTTAGTCAGTGCAGTCCTGGTGCTGCAGAACTGCTAGTGCAGGAGTAGAACTGTAGTTTGGAAATAAAAAGGAGTGAGGTGTGGAAAATAAATCATCTTAGTGGTGTAAGAAACCAGAGGAGTCCTAGAGGCTCCTGATCTGTGGGATTCAATGCTTTAAGGGACTTTGCAACCATCTTTTCATTTTACACGTGGCCTTTGAGAGGCCAATGCTCGCTGTGCTGCCCGTGGGGCAGAGTGGAAGCTTTGTGTCCTGGATGCTGCTTCATGGGGCTGTCTCAGAGCTATTCCTGCTAATCAGTCACTAGTGCCCACGAGTCCACACTCCCAGTGCTCCGGGAGGGAGTGCACCCCCTCTGCACTGCACTGGAGATGTTGTTACCCTCCAAAGAGAGAGGAGAGGGATGAGCACAGCCTTCTGCACACTCTTCCCACGCTGCTGTGGCCGTTGGTGCCAGGGGCTGTGGCAGAGCTGAGCACTAGGCCCTCACCACAGCCTGCAGCTCTTGTTTCCAGCTCCTGGGGTCACCTGTTCTGCTCCGCATCACAGCACTATCCAAAATCTCAGCTGGCAGAACTTCCACGTTCTCTGCCCCAGAGGTGTGCAGATCCTGTAGGGGAAATTCGTGGACAAATCTGGGCTGGGTTTGTGTTGGTTTTCACGTAAAATCAAAGACTTGATGCTGTGGGGTGGAAAGTTTTCCCCTGGCTGGAGCAGAGACTGTCCTGGGTGCTGTTGTGCTTGGAATCAGAGTGTTTGAAGGCTGATCTGTTGTTAAAAGTGGCAGGGGAGTCACACAGTTGTCTTTTCTGACCATAGGATGATCCATGTCCATGGGAACAGCTGTAATCACAGTGTGGAACACTGAAACAGCTCAGGCTGAGCAGCTCCAACCTGGAACACAAGTGACACAGCCAGTCCTTTATTGTAGAGGTCATTCCTTTGGGTCAAGTGAAAGGGATGAGTTACAGCCAATAGAATGATTCTGGGAAGGCAGGTCCTTAAAATCCATTCCTGACTGTATGGACTGGAAGTGTTGAACTTCCTCACTGGCAACACCATGTGCTCATTAGTGCAATCATTGCATCCACCACTTGGGTCTGGAGATCTGCCCCAACCCTCTGGAACTTGGACCTTTTCTACCTTTGTAGCATGAATGTACACTCACTTTCCTGGTGTGTGGATTGTACCACCAGGTCTCTGCCTTCTGTAAGTGATTCTGAGGACCCCGAGATGTACAGCAACAGCTCACTCTCCTAGAGAAACTATTTTATTTCAGATATATTTTTACACCATTAAGATCCTCTGACCTTTTGCTGAAGGCTTGGCTTTGTGTAGAACACTAAGATGCTGTACTGTACCCTGGAATTCGTTTTCAAAAAAAGGGGATGGAAAATTAAACCAGAGTGCAGGATTTCTCTGTGTGTTTGACTGCAAGGGGAGGGAGGAAAAAAGGAGGATGACGAAACATGCGACTTGTTATTTTTGAAGTCTTGTAGTTATTAACTGGAAGGCAGAGCTGTCCAAACGAGCTCCTTGTCATCTCTGGGCTGGGGGAAGTTGGGCTCAACTGAGCTGATCTGAGCAGATAAGGCAGGACAATTATCTTGGGGCAGCTCATGCAGAAAAAGCAAGAATTGTTGAGTGCTTCTGCGTTAAACCACATCACCCTCAGTCCTCAAGTCCCCTCCAGCCTCTCCTAAAATCATCCCAGGTGACAAGACAACCTGCAGTGTCTGTCTGGGTGTTTAGTCACTGCCATAGATCAAGAGGCTCCTCGGGGCTCCTGCAGGGTGAGGCTGAGAGCTCTGCCTCCCTTGCTTCCCACACAGGGGGAGCTCAGCCCACCTGGGCACAGGGCACAGCTGTGCTGATGTGGCTGTGGGGAGAAGTCCCAGCAAAGCCTGGGCCATGACTCCTCCTTACCCATCATCTGGACACCAGAGTGCCTGGAAAAAGCGTCGGTGCTCGGACTTCTCCGGCCTGTGGTGAGGTTGTGACATCTACAACTGGAACAGCAGGTCAGCTCTGTGGCTGGTGACTCAGTGTCACCACAGGGGAGGGTTGCAGCAGTGCAAAGCTCACTGGACAGCTGAGATTGGCCAAGCTCCTGCTATGGTTAAAACCCTTAAAATAGACTTCTAAAAAAAAATCATGGCAATGAGGGACCTGCTCTCCCCAAAGCTGTGGCCTCAGAGTGGCCAGGGAGAAGCACAGATGGAGCAGGGTAACAGCCAGCAGCACACGAAGCTTGGCAGAGCCCTCAGTGCTTTGAGGATGCTGAGATGATTCAGTCCAGCAGCTGTTCCCGAGCGAGGCGTTCGCTGGGGTGACAGGGAAGCAGCTCCCACGGGCAGAGGGATGGCAGGGCCAGGGCTGTGCTCTCCTGCCTGGGAGATGTGGGGCAGCTCAGGGTGAGCCCAGGGCTTGGCTGTCACTGCCTCACTCAGGGATGTTCCCCATACGTGACACAAAGGCAGGATTGCCTGGTACTGAGGTTTGGGCTGAGACAGCTGGCAGTGCTCTGTTTCACAGGTTCCAGGGTCTCATTCCCCTTGGGAAGAACCTGTCCCTTAAGGCCAATTAATCCCCTCTGTGTCACTGGTTCTCCTCCTTTAGGAGCCAAGCTCCTGGGTGAGGTGACATTTGGTTTGTGCCCAAGAAAACCTCACACAGTGCCATGAGCAGAGAGGACCCAGGGTCACCCTGCGGGCAAAGATCCACAGCTGTCCATGTGTCCGAGCACCCCACGGCCACACTGTGCCACGGCCAGCCCAGGCCCTGCAGGGGCCACACTGCCACTGCACCTCCTGCTCCCTGCCCCTTTCCACCACAGCCCAGTCCCCCAAGGCCCACTGGAAAATTCCTGCCTTGATGTGCACTGACTGACTTGTCTGTTCTGGCTTGAGCTCTGAGAAATTCACATCCATTTCCCCTAGGCTTTCTCCCCCGTTTTACATAAATGGGCACTTTGGCCTACTCATTGTGTCTTACAGGCACACTCAGCAGGTCCCACACCAGGACAGCCAGGGGTGCTTGGGGGGAGTTTTACAGCACGGGAGGGACATTTGTGTGTCGATTCCCCAGCCTGAATTCCTGCAGACATTCCCCAGGGCAGGAGCCAGTTCTGTGCACTGGATCACTCCAAGGGCAACTGCAAAGCAGCCCCAGGTTTGCCTGAAGCAGGAAGCAATCGGTGCTGTTTGCTTTCAATCCCAGCTAAAGCTCCACACCTACTGCTTCCTGCTCTGCACCACCCCTGAGCAAACACTATTTATAGCAGCAAGCAGCAGTTATAGCTTTGCCCCTTCTTGACCTGGAAGTAATTGGTTAATTGAGTTAGACAACAAACCTTGACACTCACATGGTTTCCTTCCACCTTCTCCCAGGGAGCTGGAGAGTCAAACTCCTTCCATCCCGAGCTGGTTGCAAACATCAAACGCTGCTGAGAGAACAATGTTTACTTCCCCACCAGGAAATTGGTCCCTGTTGAACCTTCTTCAGGGCCAGCAGCTCCTATTAAGCTGCTGCACCAGGGGAGTCACTGCCTTGCTGGAGCTGGAGCTGGTGCTAGCTCTGGCTCTGGGGCAAGTGGGGGCTCTTTGGGAAGGGTTTCCCGAGGCTGGGAAGCTGTGGAAAGCCTTGCTGCTCACTGGTGGGGGCTGTGCTCTGAGCAGAGGCACCTGAGCTCACCAGGAAACTGAGATTTTGGGCTTCTGTGCAGTTTCAAGTGCTGATTTTGTGGTTATAGAGGTTCTGTGTCTGTGGGCTTGAGGGCAGGATGAGCTGTGCTAAGCAAGTGCCTCATTCCCAGCCTGAGGTCCCTGCTGGTCTCTGGTGCAGGGCCCTGTGTGCTCCCTGTTATCTGATGGTGGCACTTCAGTGACACTTCCCCTAAGCTGGGCTGTGTTGGTGCTGGGGGTGTGCAGGAGCCTCCCCAAAGTGCCCCTGGTGGTCCCAGAGCCAGGACTCAGGCTGCCTCCAGGTGTTTAAGGAGGCTTTCCCTGGAGGCAGACTGCAATTAGCTGGGTTTTTAATCAGTGTCTCCATGTGGTGGCAACAGCCTTGGAGGGCACCGTCAGGGTGGGACATGCCTTGGGTCTGTGGTTGCAAAGCTGATGGTTTTGACACCAGTTGACATGTCTCTGCCCTCGTGTCTCTGTGACTTTGTGGTGTCTCTGTCAGTGAGGAAGAGCCTCTTGCCATGCACTGCAGAGGGGTTTAATCAGGTGAAAAAACCCACCTTGGTGGGCTCCTCTTTGGGGTGGTGAGACCCTCACTCAGAGGTGTAAGCAGGTTCCAAGGCAACTCCATGTTCTCCATGTCTGTGCTCTGTGAAACTAAACCAAACCCACAGTCGATCCATTTAGCATCTGAAACATGACTAGATCTCCTCTACACTACTGGTTATCTTAGTCCAAGCAGAATTAACGTAGGCTGGAGAAACTCCTAGCGCTGTTGGCTTGAATCCATGGTCTGTGTGGAGTCCCAGTTGGAAAACCTTCTGTGAGGGCTGGAGGAGCCGCGTGGGAGATGCAGCCAAGCGAGCTGGGAGAGCTGGAGTCTCCCACAGAGACAGGGACACTGCAGCCAGTGACCACGGAGGGGAAGGCAAACAGTCTTGGCCAAGCCCTGCTGTGCCAACAGCTTCCCTCTGCAAGTGCAGGGGTTGCACAAGCAGCAAAGAGGACTTTTTCCAAGCAATTCTCCTTGGAAGCTTTCAAACGTGCTCTATCTTACGGTGAAGAAGAAGAAATCCCAGCTGGATCCTGCCTGCTCAGCGAAGAGGCACTGAGAGCTGAGCACAGCCCTG